GGGGGAAATACCGGGGGGCTAAGGTCACTGGGGAAAATGTCTGGTGGTATAAATGCCGGGGAAATGACTGCAGGGAAAATGTCCAGGGGGAAACGTCCAGGGGGGCAACGAGCCTAGATCCGTTTAAATGATAACTGATGGTTTGACAAGGCTGCAGGAATTATATTAAAAACGATAATAAACTTCAACAATTATCAAAGGAGCAAGTGAAAATAAACCAGATTAAAAAGCTTTAGAAAATAATAGTTTTGAGATTCTTCTTAAATAGAAATGAATTTGCAGACTATGTTTAGCCATGGAGGAAATATATTTAACAGAAATGGGTAAATGGTTCCAGAGAAGTGGGAACTGAAACAGAAAATGAACGTTGACACTATGTTTTAAATTTATTTTTAAATAAACAGGTGCGGATCCAGACGTGCCATGAGGGCCCGTGCCCCTCCGTCAGTCAAGCCGAAAAATAAAAAAGAGGGTGACAAGTTTGAGTTCAAGAGAGGAAGAGCTAAAAAAGGGTGTGCACTCATGAGTTCAGTCGCGATACAGCAGTGGGCGAAAGGAGAGCTCGATTATTTACCACTTATTGTTGGGGCTGAGGTGAGCGTGGCGGCGTAAACTTTATATTGTGCCCCCCACCCCCCCCCCCCGTCAGAAAATCTCTGGATCCGCCCCTGATAAAGGGACTTAACTTGTATAAGGTGTTTATCAGTGAACGAAGTGCACTGGAGGGAACATAGGGTGTATAAAAGAAGCCATTTACAAGGCAATTACTCTTATATGTCGGAAAGATAGTTCGATTTTCCCTTCAAATCATTCAGATCCCCCATGTGTTGCTCAACGTTCATACAACGCAAAAGCAACAACATATTGAGTTCATACTAGTCAGTACTTAAAAGAATAAGACATGCCTCACATATAATTAAAAAGTAACACAACTTTTTATTCATTTTCTGTTATAATTTAAAGTAGGCCGATACAAAATAATCAAGAAAAAATTGGTAGTAATACAGCAACAAAGCAATCAATCAAAGCTGCTTTGCAAATTAGTTAAAAATACGTGATAAATTTGAATGAAATTTTCCATACAAAATCCACTAACGTTACCAGTATGCTAATGGTAGGACTAGAAATAGGTATAGGCCTGTAATTAACCTAAGAAAAATTTACATCAGAAAACTGCAAGGTTGGCTGAGAAAGACCAAACCGCACTACGGTAAAAAATGATTCATAATACCAATAAAATGTTCCATCGAAGACCTATTTGCTTACGAGACATTATAAAAAAAGACTAATTACAGAGAAACAACGAAATTAAAAACAATATGTTTAAATAAACGTGAGGTTTAATTTCTATCTGTATTTATTAACTAATACTACATCTAGAATGTTTGCCTTCATGGGTTATTTTCTTAACAGTATACAACCTATTAACCTAACACAAAGATAAAGTTTAAAAACATTTCAGATCGTTGCCATGGTGTATGCAATATAAGGTGAAAACTAATTGCGCATCCTTCCACTCCACTATGTTGGAATCGAGGTTTGCCAATCAAAGATCAGGCTTCCAGTCCCATGCCATCGTTGTGTATAGCTATGACCTCATCTTCCTCTAGGCTTCCGTTTCTTTTCCTCTTGGAGACATTTCAAACTCAACATCTTGAGGTCCACTCAATCCCTTCCTGAAATTTAACAATCAAGTGAGCAACAAATTATCTTAAAATCAAGTTATAATGATTAAAATAAAAGAGGAATATCTGTAGTACGACGCCGGGCACTCACTGCGCGGCGCACGACCGTATAAAAAACGCAACGCGACGACGTGTGCGCAAACGGCTCGTTTTTATTGACGATCTACCGATAGACTGCTACCAACTAGAATACAAGATAGAGCACTCGTCGCCCTTCTTTTTTAACGTCCTCCAATGCCGTACGTCGCCATAGCGCATCGCGGTGTACAATTTTTTAATTGAGAATTGACAATTAAATACGAGACGACTTGGTAAAGAAGGTTTGGTAGACGTTTTTTAGATCCAGCCGTACGGGGCGCCCCATTGTTTGTATTCCCACCATGCATTTCGGTGGAACACTTTTTCTGTGAAGAACTCTATATTGTGTTTCTAGTATCTTTGCTGCTACGTCCGACAATAAGTAGACGGCGTCGCATCGCCTTTGCTCACAGGGAGCGTAGTTGGAATTCGTCGTGCGACGGTCGTACGACGCAGTGAGTGGTGCCGGCTATAAAGTCTGCAGACTGGAGGTGAATGGGATTCAGTTTCTGCTTAGAATACATTAGAATTGAGGACTCGGACTACAATCAAGGGATTACAGTTTGTGGCAGGTGAAAAAAATTCAGATAGCTGGGAATGACGTTTTTGTATGACTATCTATACAATACGGTATCCTACACCTAATTCATGGTCTACTTAGCATGATCAAGTTGTGTTGAATACTTGCATTCCATAATCATTATAGTGATCATCCCGCTCCTTGTCATCATCATCTCGTAGACGGCAAACTACTAGAATTATGACAACCACAATAATCAAGATGCCACCAAGACTTTTGGTTATGATTCATGGAGGGCATTTTATATTGAATTCTTCTCCTAAACTTTTGTAATAAATAAATAAAATAACATCATAATGAATCAAACATTTTTACCGCGCCAATTCAAAAATTATCAAAGGCGCCTGGTGGAAATAAACCAAACTAAAAAGTTTTGAAAAAAGAAAGTTTTGAGATTCTTTTCAAGTTTAACACATGATGTAAATACCAACATACTGCTATGCAACATGATTCAATATGATGTATCAATGAATCGGTGGATTGCCATAGCAATCTCATACATGTATCAATTACCATAGTAACAAAATAATAATGACAACAACAGCAACACTAACAACAATAATATCCTACCGCTAATGTAAAGAACTGCTGTCTTCTTCTTCAGTTGACTTTGGCCGGGTTTTTGCCCATACTGGTCACTTATATGAATATCACTGATTACTTCTTCAATAAGGGAATTAGTTTAAAAACAAAAACAAAAAAAAAACAAAAACAAAAAAAACATGCGATCTTACCATAGCAACCTGTGTATGCCTTGCCGGTCCATTCTTCATTTTCTATATCACAAACTCTTTTTGAGGAGCCATACAACTCAAAACCTTCATCGCAATTGATTTCAGCTTCTAAAACATCATCTTCTCCCTTGATGTCAATGCTTCCATGTTCAACTGGATCCAAACCTCCACATATCGGACTTGCTATAAAACAAGAAAAAATTACAATTCAATATTGCAAAACAAAAACATACATAAATGACAAATTTAACACATTGTCATTGATAAATCAACACTGAATTAAATACAATACAGTACCGTAAATGCTCGAATAGCGCTGCGGCGCTTATACCATATTTGGAGTCTCCGGTGCGGAGCTTTTTCGAGAGCGGCGCTTATTTTAAAAAAAAAATATTGGCGTGGTGCTTTCCATGCCCGTTCCCATGTTATCTATATCACGTATACCGCATCTCAGTAGGCCTATCTGATTCATATGTCCTACGTCCTAACTAAATGTTTATAAAGTAATGCTTGTGTCTTCATTGTGTTATTTATTCATTTTAACACCGTATACCTTTTATTTAAAACCCTCAAAGTTTCTCAAAGCGTTTCATTACACAAAGGGCAATACTCTCGATTAAGCGCCACAGCGCTTATTCGAGAGCGGCGCTTAGCGAAAAAAAAAACACGTTTGGTGCGGTACGGTACTTATAAAGTAAGGTAAACTAATAGAGAAGCTTACGAATGCAATCATTCTGGAGGTCATCACCGGTCCATTCGCCTGACCCTTCACAAACACGGTATTGTGTTCCAACTAACACAAAATCGTCATCACATTCAAATTCAATTTCTGATCCAACAAGGTAATTCCGCTCACGGAAGAAAGTTTTTGTTCCATTAATTGGAGTCGGAATGTACTCACAAACCACAACTACAAGACAGGAAGAAAAATCATATTCTGATGAGTGTGGGGAAGAACTATAATTAATTATTTTTAACACTGAAAAAATAGGATTTGTATGCAGGCGATAGTTGTGAGGGGAGAACCGGAATGTGGGTACTTATTTTGTGTGTAATTCATAAGTTTCAGTGTCAAGTTGAGGCATTTCAAAGAGGGGGTAGCAGGGGGAGAGTAGAACAAGTTTTCTACCCTGAAATTGATTACTTACGATCCACAGAAGCATTTTGGTTTTGCATGTAGTGATCATAGCCTTCCTTGGTAGCCTTTCCAAGCCAGACATTCTCTGTCATGCGTACATCATATTCACAGTATACATTACCATCACAAACCTTTCAGAGAAAAGATTAAAAGCAAACTTTACAAAAACATTTCTACCAATGATAACGTCTGGGGACTTAACGTAATGTTATTTAGAGTGAAGATGTAGCTTAGTGGTTCAGATGTTTCCACTCACAGGCTCCTCCTTTGTTCAAGTTAATCCTGTGACAGGATTTTCTCCAAAGCAAAACAACGTCACTCCCAAGGCTTCAAAAGAGACTTTAAGCCGGTTTTCCACTAGGCGAATTTATTCGCGTGAATGGAAAGCGTCGGTTCGCATCCTGAGCTCTTATTGTTTGCGCATTTTTTTGCTTCGCAAAAAGTAGAAACAGTTCGACCTACCGACTTCGCTGAGGCGAGAACTCCGATAGAAACGTGAATGCGCGCGCGCATGAGCCAACGCTTTCGATTCGCATGAATACATTCGGCTAGTGGAAATCCGGATTTATTATTAAGTTGTTGATTTGATAAAGGGAGTATTGTCTCCCTACCCTCTGACTAAGAAGTACCAATGTGAATAAAGTACCTGTTCCATTCCCTCTTTGACCTCACTTGGCAACGTGTTGGGTGGAGTAAATGCAGGTATAAAACCATTATCCTGGTAGTACTCGTGATTAGTACCTGCTTCATAATAGAATAGCTTCTCAGCGGTATCTTGAATTTCCCCTAAAAATAAATTCGAATTGAATTAAAAAAACAAACACATAATTGAAATTGTTAGGAATTCTTAGTTTTGATATAAAGGTATCTCTAAATAGATGAATTGATTAATTGAGGATAGTGTATAAGATACATAATTTATTTTATGTTTTATTATATTGTTCTTGCAGTACAAACACTGAATTGTAACAATATTGACAATAAAGTTTTATTTTTAAAAAAAATAGAAAAACATACACAAAGAGTATAATTGATTTTTATGGACACACATTAATAGAAAATTAAATTCCCAAATGTATAAAATAAAAAAAATGATGAGCTTTGTTTTCTAAATGTATAGTAATGTAATTAACAAGTACTATGTAATGAAATTAACAATGTTTGTAACTTACAACTTTTAGCAAATTCATAAATACGTTGTGGTGTATCGTCGGGGCTGATCACTGACCCTCCATTGTCCGTCAGGTCATCGGTAGGATCGTCATTCCATGTTCCCATCAGACCTTCAACGCGATTCTGAAATCAATTTTAAAACTAGTCTTTTAAACCAAGAGCCAGTCGTGAATCTAGTTGTCATGGCATCTAGAAATGGGGGCATCAAGGAGAAAAAATCCAGAGGCGATTTATCCACATAGAGGACAAGCACACACAAGTAGGAGAATCCACAGGAATGATACTGGCACAAGGCTAGTTACCAATCAATCAATTAGTTTACCGACGCGATTCTATGGAATGCAACTCACGACGCTCGCGCAACGGATCATTTTAACGACGATTTGGTTAAACCATAGATAAAATAGTTCTATTTTCTCTATGGTTAAACTGCCACCGAAACCGCTCGTCGCGTCGTCTGCGCTTACAGGTAGCGGAGTTGGATTCGTCGGCCGACGGGTGTACGACGCAGTGAGTACCCGGCTTTATACACCCATCTAATGTATTATCGTACACAGTACAAAAATCGTCAGTAGGGCAAAACATTTTCGTAATAATAATATACAGATTTACTTGCCTTGTAATTGTCTGGTATAAAGACATGGCAAACGAGCATATCAGACGTGCCATTGACGACAACGCCGATGAGGGAGTCTTCAAAAGTCACAGTCACTCGGGTGATGTTCCCATTCTCATATGTATACGGAAAGTTCAAGTAAACACCTATTCGCAATTTTAACAAAACATTTAATGTTATTTGTTCACTCTCCAGAATTCATCTAAACTGACTGCACTTGTAAACAAAATTTATTCTAGAATATATTCTTAAAAATACTGTATAATGTTTAATCTAGAAATACCATACCGTAGAAATGCAAGGAGGTTTGTCGTTTTAAATCAAGAACTTCACCATTAATAAGTACCTCCAGTATGGTTCTTTCACTGCGCTGGATGTGGATCGTGTCACTGTCTTCCTCTTTCATAGCCACTGCTGTTACCACTGTTGCTTGTACCTGTTCTCCTGTTAAAACACAAAGAAATTCACTATGTCTGTCCAAAAAAGGTTTGTTTGCAAAAACAGTTTATTGACTTTTAACAACACAAACTACTTGACAATCTTTTTGTTCTCATTACATTCTATTTCAAATACATTACCAAATGTTTGCAGAAATTCTTCTGTTTCAATTAGCCAAACAGCCTGAAGTACAAAGACTATTTATTTAGGTGCCATTAGGAACCAAAATTACCTATATAAAACTATACAATATGTATCAGTCAGAAGAGCTTGTACCTCTAGTATTAGTAGCCTGTTCTGTACGGGCTTGAATTGTGAAAGAAGTTGCAACATCAGATGTGGTCTTCATCAAAGTATATTCTCCTTTTCCGTTAAATGTATACCCAACACCGTCAAAGGTCATAATGTGTGGGTCACCAAATATAGCAGCTATATAAAGTTAAACAAAAGTGTATTACATGTATTTATTTATAACATAGCCATACATAAACATAAGACAGAAGTAGTGAGGCACAAGAAATTTGCCGACAGGTGGTCCAACAAAGGTCAAAACCAATGGGCACCCTATTATAACCTCGGTCAGAGTCCCGGAATAAAATCTCTGGTGGGTTCAAGATTGTCAAAACTTGTGTGTTTAGACCATTAGCCTAGAGATTGGCAGTTTTTGTGTAGTCTGACAACTTCGTCGTGGGGTCGTACGACGGTAGTCCACGCTTGTCCAACGGGGAAATATTCCCCCAACCCCGCCCCCATTGGAAGACAGAAAACTCCTCTCCAACATATCCGCACCTAATATTTGCTTCATCACCACCACTATTACAACATTGGCAATAAAACTAGCAAAATACTAGAGTCAGGGGCGGAGCCGGCCCGGCCCCGGCCCCCCCTTTTGGCAGGGAAAAAAAGAAAAAAAAGAGAGAAAAAGAAAAAAATGATAGCCCAGAATACC